TTACAAGTGATTTTTAATTTTTTTCCAAGGTTTTTTAGATTTCTTAAAATTATTTTTCTTTTTTTAATTTAGTTTTTAGTTTGTTAGGTTTAAGATTTTTTTTTTTTTAGGGTTTATTGGAGGTTTTCATCCAAAAAATGATAAAGGAGCATATGAAAAAAAAACATAAACGCACAAAGAATGTGAAAGCCAAAAAATTCTTAAAAAGATGGATGAGAGAATACTCCCAATATATAAATGTAGATGAATCAGTCGATCCTTTTTTCTTTTCTTCAGTGGTGATTTATTGATAATCGGTTTAATTGGACACGCAAAAAGTTTTTTTAAAAAAAGGCTCCATTAAAAAGTGGGGTATGTTTTTTTTATTTAAGAAAAAAATCCAATTCCTTTTGTTTATAATAAAACAATCAAAATTAGGTTTCATAATAAAATTTTTGGATGACTTTGGAGAACTAGTAATTAAATTCGAGCATTGTTTTAGTTCTACCAAAAAAGTTCATTGATTTATACAGTTTTTGGTAAATGCTTTTGCATTAAACAAGTCGGTCATTGATATTCTTCAGGGTGTTCTACAATAATGATCTTCTTCTTTAATTAATTTATTGTTTATATTATTCATAACTGTATATTACTTTATTTTTTAGCTATATTATGTTATCTTGGCACGCTAAATCAAATTATAATCATTTTATGCTGTATATGATAAATTTAAAACCAATTATTTGGTCCGTCGTCATATTAGTTTCAGACCTTTGGCTCCTTTAAAAAAACTAGTTTTTTGGCAGGTCTTTTGCATATATTTTATTTAACTAATTTACACTGTTTTTTTTTAAAAAAATTTCTAGTTGATTATTTAGAACTACTCATAAACGGATAAATTTGATTGTTTATTAAATAAACACATTTGATTTTGATTTTCAAATAATTTTATATAAATTAATTTGTTTAATTTTTGAACCATATGATATAATTTATAACTGTACTTAGTAAATAATAGGGACAAAATTGAAAAATATCTTTCAAAAATTAATAATTACTAAAAAAAGTCTCTTAACATTATATTATTATGAACCTTTTTTTTTCTTTTTTCGACTATATGTGATTTAATTATAAATTAACAATACATACATTAACGAAAAATTTTTAAATTATTTTCTTAATAAATCTTGCCCTTTTTTTAATATTATCATTTCAAAAGAGTAAAAATAATGTAAGAAAATAAAAAAATAATCTATAAAAATTAACTAAGGATTAAATATAATATTTTGACGCAATTTAATTATTTTCTGATTTTAATATATTATGTTTTTTATTGGCTTGTTTTTAAGCTTTTCAGAGTTTTGATAGTTAAAATAAAGTGCAAATACAATGCTATATAGTTAAGGAGTGAGTTAAGAACTTGTTTTATGTTATTTAGGATTTTATGTGGTGTATAAGTAAAGAATAATAAAAAAACATAATTAACCTATATTTTAGGATAAATTTTAAAAAATAGCCTATTTTTAAAAATCAATAACTTTATTTTTTAAAATTTCAGAACACTGATTTTTTTTTTTTAAATTAGAGGTGGAGTTGAATTTACTTATTAATATTGACACACATATTTATTATAGAGTTTCTGCTTTTATATGCAACAATGGATGATCATGGCTAAGTGACATATGCAAGTCTGTTTTACTGTATTTGACTGGCATTATATACAGATTTTCTATTTTTACATGTAGATTTACAAAATCAACGTAGACAAAAAATTCAATAAATTAAAATAAATGCATAATCATCATGATACAGTAATGCGATGGGATGCACGACCTCGTTGTACCCCACAGAACCCTAATAAGAAATTGAAGTCTACGATAAAACAGTTGTTCAAGGTAGACGTAATGAAGACTGAAGAGATAGGGTATGCAGTAGTACAAATGACAGGTAGCTATGGTGCTTTGGCCCCGGCTATAAACAAAACTGAAGTCAGCAGAAAATAGGTTACTGTGCGGAGAAAGGGTTTCTCAGAGTGAGTCACATTGCCTACCCAGACAAGGCTTGGATCTCAAAGACTTATTATGCCACTTGTAGTTGTTGAAGTGAAAGCAGTTAGACTGTGACGAGGCTTAATAGTCAGTCAGTAACAATTGCTGAGACACAGAAATGATCAGAACCCAGAAAAGGTCTTCCAAAAAGAGATCATGATCATGACTTCCATTGAACAGATTTAATACTTTATGTGGTAAATGATGTTGTTTCCCACTCTTTTCCATGATTTTTGCAAAATGTTACCAACGAATAACACATTGAAAGTAGATAGGTGTGAATTATTAAAAAGAATGAAAAAAAAAAAACTTAAAACAGTTCCCATTTTTCTTTTACATTCATAAAACTCTGACAGAAAGAAAGATATGAGAATGACATTGAAGGTTCCCTCTCTCCTTGCTTGTGTTGAAGGTCTGACTTGAATAGTATTCATAGTACTACCAAGTCTTACTGTTTATTTATTTATTTATTTTTTCCAATTATTATTTTATTTATTTATCGAAGAAATTAAGTAATGTGCATGCCGTGAGAAGAGTGAATGACGGGTGAAGAGGAGAGAGATAAGAGAAAGGACAAGGTGTTGATTTTCTACAAGATTTTCCTTACATTGATTGGAGAATAGACATTGCTTTAGTCGCGTAGAGGAATTATTACAAAAAAAAAATCTAAAAGATATGACTTTTTTACTATTTTTATATTATTCACACACTTATACGATGTTATTAACACACCTTTTATGGTTTTTTTTAGTAATTTTGAGATGTTTTAAAGCATTTTATAGTTTTGCTCATGTTATTTTTTTCGTTTTTTATTTTTTTAATAATTTTTATTTCGATTAACAACTTTATTTGTATTATAATTTAATTCATAATTACTAAAAGGAGAGAGAAATAAAGAGAAAAGAGGGAGGACGAGAGAGATTTATGTATGAGTTTTTTAATAAAATTTTTAGAATATTGTTATTTGCTTTTAAAAAATTGATATAATTTATAAGATATATTTTTTAAATTTTTAAATGGTATAGCATGGTTAAATATATATAATAAATTTTTAAAATATAATTATTTGTTCTTAATTTTTTTATATAATTTATATAATGAATCATATGAATTTTTAAATGATAAAAGCGCATGCACGCAAGCACGCACACACATATATAATCTAAAAATTAAATGTGTTTTTTTAATAATTTGTCTCAGATTTTTTTTTGAAAAAATTTATAAGAAAAGTTTTAATAAGAATCAATGGATTTTTGAATTTTCTCGTAACTTTTTAGTTAAGAATCCAAATATAAAAAAATAAATTGTTTTCTTTTTAACAAAAAAATTATGAAAAACATAACGAATAATTAGTTAAACATAAAATTAAAAAATAATTTTGATTTTATTTTTTATTTGATATATTTTAGTAGACTCATAAAAAACATAATGTATAATTAGTTAAACACAAAATTAAGAAAAATAATTTTGATTTTATTTTTGATTTGATATATTTTAATATACTCATAATATAATAGATAACATTAAACTGAAATTATTTTTAAAATAATTTTACATATTATGTTTAACCTGCTGCATCATAACGTGGATAAAAATCTAATATGTCCTGGATGATGATCTAAATTCAATACCAATAGTTTATTATCTTGTTCCTCTCAAACAAGTGATTGTACCGTCCACGTGCGTAGACCCCTTGCGTGCTGCTACGTACGAAACAAAGCAGGCCAAACGGTTCATTCTCCTTTTGCACGCCGTAACCATAGACCCCTTGTGCTGTGTACGGTTACCATAACGCCTTCATCATTGCATCACTTTCTACCTTCTTGTCTGTAGTATTTAATTAATAGCATATGGAAACTGATATTAGCAAGAAAATGCGAAGTAGGAGTTCATAATCATCTAGCATAGAATACAATCTGACCCCCTAAATCAACAATAGATTCAAATGCTTTACGAAATAAGTTGTGCCATCCACAAGTAACAACACCCCCTTTTTTTTACAGTAAAATATATTTTTAAATAAGTTCGTATTTTAATCAAAATTAAGTATTTTCTTTGATTAATCTATTTTAGTATTCAAATTTAAAAAATATAAAAAAAATTACCTGCCAGCGAGTAAGAGAGCAAAGCAGACTTCCAAGAGTGGGTGGTAAGAGCGTACCGGTAGTTCCTTATTCCCCATAGCCATAGGATTGGAGATGTAACAGAATCTCGAGATCCTAAATTTTATCACAGAGCCACCTCTTATAATTACACGCGATTCAGTTTTCAATACTGGGGATAAATAAACATACCACTTCAGGGATATCAATTAGGCTCGCCAAAAAGTCCCTACCGTTAGAAAAAAGATTTCGGACCGTTTTCAGCTGAACAATGATCTGATATATCCACATCGATGCACGAATATGGCCCTTGGCCCAAGTTGATCGCTACCTAGTCCACTAAGGCATGGCGATAAGTTTGAAAGTTCGGAAGGAGAACAACAAGGCAAGGGAAGTTGATTAACCCAAGGTGGAGACGCTTTGTACTGGAACAAAATTCCATTATTTAATTATTTTATGTAATCGAATGATATATGTATAGTTCTCTGTTTGTCCAAACGCATTCGACCATTTCCAAACATCCTGAAAGAATATGTTGTTATCATATGATGAATTTATGTCATGACCTCGAGAGATACAGATGGAATTGCAAGCAGCAGCTTTGCATCCAAAACAGTCGGTTGCACAAGCACCCTTCGCAGCGCTTAATTGCAACAATGAGGTAATTCACAAAGATTCCTCCATATGTTTATCTTTTCCACGTCTAATGATTTGGCTATGTTGGGATATAACTTATTGGTAACCTTTTCATCTTGGCTAACATAAATACTGTGTTCAAAGACAGGATATTCACATATCATTCCATGGAAGTTGCTTACTTTACGATCGCCGTGCAGCTTTATAAACTATGGCTCTATGTAAACTTCCAAAAATGAGGCAATCGGTCACTTGTAGTGCAATCGATGTCCCCATGTTGCCATGCACAAGCTCCTCTCTGAACCATCTAATTACTGAGGATGGAGATCAAGAATTCGAGCCTGTAATCAAACGGAATATAGCATCAGCAACGCTCCCAGTATTTAGGTCCCACACCATATTAACACTTGATCAGGAAAGGAAGAGGAGGCCTACCAAGCACGGAATTCGTTCTCCTTTATGTTCATCTTTGCACCTGCTCACGTAATTGAGTAAGACTTGACAATACAAGATTCTCTTAGGAGAAGGGGGTGATAAAAGAGAACAAGTTTTTAAGGATACCAAGAGATTCGAAAACAGATTTTCATGGATGCCAAGATGTGGGTCAATGTTACATAAAAGAACAAGATGATCGACAAAGAGTTCATATACAGTGGTTGCCCAGATAGAAATAGAAGAATAACAAGGGAAGTATTTCTACAGAAAAACATGTGGCTTTAAACTGCTGCTATGCAGAGGCCCCACCAACTGAAGGCACAGTGTCCAAGATATGCCATTCTTGCATCCATTGAACAGCCTGTAAAGCAATTTCACAATACCAGATAATGATTATAACGGCAATCAGTTAATCCTTATGAACCGTTAATTATTTTCTAGTCCAGCTACATGAAAGGATGCAATAGGTTAGAACCAAGGATCATCAGTCAAAAAAATTCAGTGTCAAATACTTCTTCATGTCACAAAGTAATAATTTCCGAACCAATTGCTGCGGCGCCATAATTCCCATGTTTCTATTCGTGATTGCATACAAAAGGCTCAGAAATTGAATTACTAGACTAAACTGGTCAGCAATCAAGATCAAGGCCATAAAGGTCCAGGATATTAGATCCAAGAACAACAGGGAACAGAACAGAACACTCAATGTGGTTTCAATACCTTCAAAGTCTTCATCACAGCAACATGAGTAGGATACCCGATTGTCTACAGTGGAGATGAATGAAAATTAGTAATGCAGGGATACTTGCAAAGTTCATGCAGACTCCACTAAAATAAGTGAATTAGATTGGACAGCACAATCATACCCCTTCATCATAACCTTTTATCAATCTTTCCACCTTTGGTAACACTTAATACGTGTTTAGTACTGCCATAACTGGGACTCGAAGGTGATCAGCAAGCACCCTAAAATGAGACATTTATAAAGCAGGAAAAAATCATTGTTCAGAACAAATGCGAGATCCAAAATGCAGAAATAACAGACCATTAATGCTTCAAGTCTCTTTGAGAACTTAAGCTTGGCCACCAACCCAAATCCACACCGTATACCTCAATGATGTACGCATGTCATATCAATTTTCACTCATGATCATAAAAGAATTTATGGAGCTGAATTGATTTACACTGAACTAGAGTAATATATATGAACAAATCCATAAATCAGACAACTAGAGTTTGTGAGCAACTGCAGGTAATGCCATTAACAGAAGAGATAAATAAGGATAAGGGTTAAATACAAAAATGCCCCTTGACTATTAGCTCATTCACAATGTTACCATTCACCAATTCAGGAAATCAATTCTGCCCTTAATGTTATCAAATGTTTTCAAAATCACCCTTCTGTCCAGTCTCTGCTAGAAATAGTTAAGAAAAATGTCAAATTACTCACATGCCATGGACATGTTTCATTAGAGGGAAAAAAAACTGCCAAAAATAACCAAAATGCACGATCACCCATAGAGCTTGTACGAAGTGGGTGATTTTGGGTTATCTAGCGAGTTTGGTCCCTCCAATTTCATGAGTAAATGAAACATGTGCATGACATGTGAATAATTTGACAATTGGTTAATATTTTTAATAGAAACCAGATGAAAAGGTAACATTGATCTCTCTGCTTTTTATTTGTGAATCGAATGTAGATGCACTAATTAGAGAGATAGCGAGAGATGACATTAAGGTCTCTTTGATACACCAAATCTTTCAAACAAAAAATCAAGCAGAAAAAATTGTATACTTTTGCATGGATCCGAGATACTAATGGGAAATCACTAATCAATGCTGATAAACTCTTTCAATCCAAAGCTGCATTCTTAGAACTCCTACCAAATATTTTTCCCTCCTCTCCAAAAAAACTCTAACTCACCTGATGCCAAGTTTCTAGAAATGATGCTAGCAGCCTAGTATAGAGCCTAATAAAACTATTTAACAGATATTAATAATTTAAGTGGGGACAAAGCAGGCAGAAGAGGACAACAAGGAACAAAAGGTGTAAAGAAAAACTATGGGATTTCAACGGACATTCTGCTCTCCAGCTTCCATTTCGTCCCTCGGAAACGAGAAGGGAGAAAGAAAGCACAAATGACTTTGTGCTATATTAAAAAATATAAAACTCAATCTTGATGTTAGAGAGGAGCTCAAGTGGCCCTAGGCAGAAACTTCAAGTTTATGCAGCTCAACCTTGATGACAAACTCATTTAACCTTATAGAGCTTGCATTAAAAAGGAACAATTGTGTAGAGAAACATACAGCTGTTCACTTTTTAGAAAAGGGCATAAAACCCCAAACAGAGGAAATGCAAACCAATACCTTCTATCCCAAGAAAAACCCCCGAGGACGTATAGATGAACAGTCACGCACACACATTTTGATAAGCAACACAGTTGTAACAGAAGTAGGTTTTGTCTCCATGAGGTTAGACTTAGATGTTGGGTTGTGATTGGTGATAATGTTATGGAATTTGTGGTGATTGGTAGTGAGGATAACAGAACGCTTTCAAGGGCATTGATCTGTGGGGGAGGTAGATTAGAAGAGTACGGTATGTCCTGGATTGAGTTGTTGATTCGGTTAAGGAATAGTTGGGGGCACAGAGGTTTGGAGTATGCTGAAGGGGACAACTAAACCAGATGTTTGGAGTTTCTGGAGTCTGATATCTGGCAAAACTTGAAGAAATTATGATTGAGTTTCCACACTTGTGTTTTTTAAGGGCATTCATTCGTTTGGCTTTTCTCTTAGCACTAGGAAAGGGCATTCTCATATTGCTACGAGAGGATTTGGGAGGACTTGCATGTCTGAAGATGTTGTAATGGCAAAGCCAGAGTATGTCTGTAGAACTTAGTTTTTGCATTCTAGAGATTGCAGAACTGTCTTTGTTTTCCAGCAAGAGGAACATACTTTGATATGTGTTGGGATTTCTTGAATTTTTTAAAAGCTCTACTGTATAGTAGACAGTTCTTTAGGTATTGTGAGAGCATTTCTATAAGAAACAATGGATAGAACCACAACTTAACATTTCTAGATAGAAGACGGTCAGAAAACTACAATTACCAAAGAACGTGGATGGCTAGGTATAAACTATGGCAAATAGACCACGTATGAATAGCAGGACCACGGTAAACTTGTATTTCTTGAATATTAGGATAGAATTGCAGGACTTTCTTATCGACTTTGCCGATTCCTCATGGTTGTTATAAGCTTAAAGATTTAAAGCCATTGCTTGAAATCCTCAGAACTTGGTGAAACAGACAGAAAAGAGAACAAACCTCTTATAAAATTATCAAAATATCAAAGTTATTTCTTATTACAGCAGTAGCAGCCCTTAAATACTAGCAAAACCCTAACTAAAAGAAATCCTATCCCTTAGAAATAACTAAATCTTTGTCGTCCAAACTGCCAGAATAAATTATAAGTAAATGAACTATTAAAAGAAAAACCATGATTATATGAAAGCTACTGCAGTTCTAGCTTCTGCATCATTCTCCTCGGGTTGGAAGGAACTCATCCTCGAGTTCAAATCGTTCTTTCCTCGATCTTGTGGATGCCCAATCAAAAGTTGCCCACCCCTTTTACTTCTTCGCTTCAAATACATATCAAAACTGAATAGTAGTTTTATTCCATATTTAGCACGACGAACTTGTACTCGCAAATTATTCCCCGCCAATTGTTGTCTTGGACAATAAACTGTATAGTACTACTTTGTATTATCAACAAGAACAGCCAACATATAATCTCTATGAACGATGTTCACCATTATGTCGCAAAACACCAAACCAATGTTAACCACAGGCTTAATGATTAATATCTTGGCTCTTTAATCTGTATGAACCACACTCACACTTGAACCAGGAAAACAAATTCACATCCCAGCAAAGTTTCTTGTACATGACAAGCAAAACTTCCAGCAATACATGTTGTATCCTTTTTTCAATGTTTCTCTTTTAATCTTAAAGTAAACCCATAATAGTTCAGTTTGCATATCAACTACGCTAACACAATGCATCAAACTTTGTAAACATAAGACAATTTTCTATGTCCTAAACACAAATTACAATTCACAATCAACATAACATCTCAATCAAATCTGTAGCATCTTAAAAATTCAACCTCATCTAGCACAAACTCAGAACATGTCAACATGTAAAACTATCATAGTATATCACAAAATCCAAATATTGCTTGAAAAAAATACACAGGCAAGCAAGAAAGCAGCGGATCAACTTACTGATTATATCCAATCCATTTAACTCTTCTCAGCCATTCTCAGCCGCATTTCAAACAATCTAGCATTGAATTCCCCATCGTTAACCTTCAGCATTCTCGACAATGGCATCTTCAATCCACACTCCACCAACATTCTATGCCTAGGCTTAATCTTCCTCTCCAAACTAAACGAAAAGAACTGCGGAAACTTCTTCAGTTCCTCTAAATCCGCATTCATTTCTCTCACAAAGTAATCAACTTTAGGCCCCAAATTCCTGTCCACACTGAGAGTCAAAATCCCGGGTGCCCTCACGACCATATTTTTAACCTCGCTAAACTCAAACCCCAACCCCATCAAAAACTCAATCTTACCCATCAAACTTCTCTCCACATTATAAACAAGCAACAAAGCAGTTTGATAATTTAACTTATGTGGACCCACAAAGCCCAAATCTTTTAGAAAAACAAAAGCAGGCCTTAATTGATGAGACACACTGGAAACTAACAATCTGGGACAGCGAGTGATTGACCTAGATATATCATCAAATGAGATTTCGACTTCATTGAAGAGGAAATCAAAGGTGGGGTACAGGTGGAGATGGAGGTCAGAGGTGAGGAGGCAAGGGTACATGTCAAGGATGCGGCCAATGGAGGAACGGTGGAAGCCCATGGAGGAGAGGCAGTTTTCAATGGAGAGGAGATTGGAGAGAGGAGTGGAGCGGATGTTTGGGTTTAAAGTGAGAGCTTTGTGTGTGTTTATTTTAAGGCTTGTTAGGTAAGTTAGTTTTTGTCGGAAGAGAAGAGCGGTGTCTTTTGTTGTTGTTGTCTTTGTTAGGCACAAATTTGGGGGGTTGGGTTGTTTTTGAGGAGGGAGAAGAGGACGAGGGAGGAGTTGGGGTATGGTGATTTGCTGCATGTTAGCATGATGCAAGTGTTAGCAAGGAAGGAGATTGCTGAGGAGGATGCAGGAGGCTAGGAGGGCTCGTGTTATCCATTTGGTAGGACTTGATTTCAGTTGATTTTATAATTGGGCTTTTATGTTTCTTTGGTTGTTGGATCCTCTTTGTTGGGTCAGAAGTTTTTGTAACACACCTCAACTGGGTTGTGTGGCCCAAATTTCAATTTGTAAAGAAAAGAAGAACTAGGGAAAAAAAAAAAAAAAAAAACAGATTGAAAAAGACCATTGGACCATCATCTATTCACCGTCCATACATTCTAGTGCTGTTTAATCGGCCATAAAAGAAATTACTCTGATGATTGATAATGCTAACAAAACATGGACAACTTAATCCTAAGGATTGATAACAGGTTCAAATTGATTCGACTTAGTATGGCTTTCATTTGAAAATTTGTGAAGTTCCAGTGATATCAAATTCTAGCCTTTCGTTTCATCATGAACACGTAATTTGGACAATATCTACTACTCTCCCCATGAACGACATGCGAGAATTGGTACCTCCACTGTCGCCGCGGGGGTGGGGTGGGGGCATAGCACTGGGTAAAAAAACACTCGATGAAAATTCGGTGCGATGATGCCAGCGTAGGGCTTGATAAACCTCCAAGGGTTATGGTGGGGTTTTGACTAGGAGAGGCTCAAAATATAATGAGATTGGATTTCCTGTTGTAGCCCAAAGACTCACAACATGTTCCAATAAAGTGACGCCATCTGTTCATTTTTGCCATGTCATATCAACTACTGTCTTGCTCTGTTACTGTCACCGCTGCCTTCCATGGGCAACAGAAATATTACAATTGGCATCATTTCCTGTGGATAGGTAATGAGAAATGGGTACAAGGAGAAGTAGTGGATTTGGTTGAAATTACGTAGGTTTTTGTTTTTGTTTTTGTGTTTGGTTGGTTTGAAGCTCTCGGGGGAAACTTACTGACGATCCCGATTCTCAAGCTTCGTTTGGTGACCGATTTTGGCGCTCACCCGGTCATGTCATGCAATCCTATATGCAAGCTAGCTCACAACCATTTCTCTCTCTTTCTCTTCTTCTTCTTCTTTCTCGCTCTGCTTTTCTTGGTTCCCACATTTAAATTCTTTTCTCTCATCCAATTTTACTCGTCGTTTGATTTGCTCCTTTGGGTAAGTTTTCATTCTTTCTTTTTTTACCACGTTCATTCTTTTCTTCTTCTTCTTTTTTTCTACCTCTCTTCTCTTCTTCATCAGAAAGACAGAGAGAGGCCGGTACATCGATTTTCCTCTTTCTTTTCATTAAAAGAAAACTGGGGAGTGTTTCCATTCTTTTGTTTTTGTTTTTAGTCAATATAGCTGCATGGGTTTAGTCTTTCTTGGCTGTTTTATTTATTTATTTATCTTAGTTTCTCCTTTTCCTATGATCCCTTTTCTTTTCTTTTCTGTCTAAATTATTGCTTTCCATCTCTGCTTTTTTATTTGTTTTTGAACGACTTTCGTTTGCAAAATTCTTGGTTGTTCTTAATGAACTTATGGTATTGATGCTTGATTTTGGTGCATTAGGTATTAAAAGGTGCTTCATCTTTGTAAAGTTGCAAACTTGTGGGGATATTTTGATGCTAATTGATGAAAAATTAATGCTTGGTTTGAATTATGTGCTTAATGTTGAAATAAATTTATGGTTTAGTGGCAATTCTTATAAATGTGGATTGTTCTCGATAGACTTTCAAATTATGGGCATTCTTTGATTGTGAAATGCTGGTGTTAAACGTGCAGGATGGGTAGGGTTAAGCTAAAGATTAAAAAATTGGAGAATACAAATGGACGTCAAGCGACCTATGCCAAGAGGAAACATGGCATCATGAAGAAGGCTAATGAGTTATCTATACTATGTGACATAGACATTATCCTTCTCATGTTCTCACCAACTGGCAAGCCTTCGTTATGTAAAGGAGCAAGCAGGTACCGCCATTCATGCTATGCTTCCACCGCTGTAGAGAATTAAATTGAGCTACTGAACTTGAAGCTTGCCTGTAAAATATTTATGCATTCCTTGTTTTGCATCTTTCGGGAATTTCATTGCATAGGCACAAATGCAGCTTTATCTCACCTCACGTCATTCAACCAAGTGGTTTCTCATTATTCACTGTTTAGCTACAATAGGGAGTAGATTGAAAGTTATAGCTTGATTGTCATACGCATGTGCAACACTCAATAATTTTTTGTATTTGATTTGTATATTTGATTGAGGGAAAAAGATGTATATGAAGTTTGTGTGGCATCTAGGACAGATTTTAATATTCAATTATCATGATCACTGTTGTTGTTGTCGTCGTATTATGGCTCTCATCGATGTCAACAATTTTGAATAATTTCTGTTTCTCTCTCTCTCTCTCTAGTAGCATTGAAGAAGTAATTACAAAATTTGCTCAGTTAACACCTCAAGAAAGAGCGAAGAGGTATGGTGAAGTTTTCTTGCTTCATTTTTTCTTTGTTTTTTTTTTTTTTTTTAATCTCCTTGTGCCTGCATTGAATATTTACTGAATTGGAGTTTATTTGTTCTTTTATTTTATTGGAACAGGAAGTTAGAAAGCCTCGAAGTAAGTCCTTGGATCCTCATTTACGAGTCACTCCCCTTTTCTGATATTGACTCTCACTCTGCTCTTTTTATTACTTGGTTTTGTTGAAGATTGTCATCGTATTGGTTACATAATTTTTCTTTTTCTTTGAGAGGATAGGCACTGAAGAAAACTTTTAAGAAGCTGGACCACGATGTTAATATACCAGAATTTCTGGGTACAAGGTATGCTCTTGTTGATGTTGACACAGTTCACTTTTCAAAATTTATGGACTGATTATGTTCTTTAAACATTATGCACTAAACTTCTTGAATCCTGTTCTTTTTGTTTCAGTTCTCAAACAATAGAGGTATGGGTGCTGACTGGTATTTCCGTTGTTAAATACAACATCTTAAAACTCTTTCTCATATGCTGATGGTTTGTGACATATATTACAAAATTGCAATTTAATTGAACAGGACCTGACTAGCCAATCAAGGCTTCTGCAGAATCAACTATCTGATGTGCATAAGAGGCTGAGGTGAACACATACAAATCTTTGAATGTATTTCATGATCTTATGTATACTTTGGCTGGTCACCAACCTGGACTAATCTTAAGTTGCTTTGAGTTTCTGCAGCTACTGGACCAATCCAGATAAGATCAACAGTATAGAGCATTTGGGGCAATTGGAAAATTCACTCACGGAATCACTTAACCGGATTCGATCACATAAGGTATACCTATTCCTTTGATGTGTTTCATCTGGGGAAATTATATACACACTCTTTTTGGTTGTTATGTAACTGCTCTTATGTTTTTGATTAATAATTTGAATGTGGGTTCAATTAGGATCTTAGCCTGTCTATGAGAAAATCCATGGGCCTAGTCCTCAACGTGATCATATGCCTGTTGTGAAGAATTTGGAGATCAATCGTTTAACATTCTTTAAATTTTATTTTATTATTAATGGATAATGAGGAGTGCAAGGAGGCTAAGATGATTTGATATTAGTCAATTTTTAACTAAATTGGATGGTTTTGTAAAAGGATCAAAGAAACAAGCAAAGCTACCTCCCAATGTTCTGATTATTCAAGAGTTCTTTAAGTAGTAGAGCGAAACAAAAGCCAGATGCTGCAAAATTTTGAGTCAATTTAGAGGAAACATTCGGTCGAACCTTAAAAAGAATTCATGAGTTAATTACATCTCCTCATTATCTGTAACAGTTTTATTTACATTTTAACGCTATAACTCTAACGCTGAGAGAGTTCCTTCTTTGCCAGGAAAACTTGGGAAAACAGCATCTTATGTCACTAGAATGCCATGGTCAGGTAATGAATGGCTTTTATTTGATATAGATGATTTCCAAATGGCATTGCTCTGAATCCTCGCCAGAAGTTGTTACGTAACTGATCTTGCTTGCAGTTTCAAAGTGGGATGCATGTACCTTTCAGAATGGGTGCGGAGCAGCAGATCCCGCATCTTCCTTGGCTTCCTAACAATGACAGTCAACATATTATGTTACCAGAGGATCCAAATCTGCTTCCCCACAGGTCAGTGAACCAATTAAAGGAAACTTCAGATCCCATTGCTTAAATTATTTTCTTAAGGAAAGATCATGCCTGGGCTTGCTCTGCCCCGACACTAGTAAGGGATGAAAGCTCCTTTTTGTAAAAACATATGGACAAATTTACATGTGTATGCACATACACATGGAGAGAAAGAGAGGGGGGATGGGGCATAGAATAGGAACAAATTATATTTTTGTGAATTATTTTATTTGGTGTAAGATAGGATATACACAAAAATACACAGAACAGACGACAAATTAACAATGTACCTGTGCATAGAGGACTTTAGAATAGCCCCTCCTGATCATGTGTTCTTACTAATTGGTTGAATGTCTTTTTGTAGGGATGCTGAGTGCACTGCAAGCACCTCTTTTGGGAGTTATTCTGGTTACTTTGGTGCAGGAAAAAATTCAGAACTATCTAGTTCTGGTCAAGAAAGTGGTATGAATGGTATTCTTGATGAGTTAAATGGAACTGCACCATTGAGGCTACAGTTGGCTGGGCAGTACCCTTACCTGCCAGGGTCATACAATCTGAATTTGCTGAACGATACAAAATTCCAACCTGCAGCAGAGATGAACGTACAAAAAAGCCCTGGGGATTTTAATGCTAGTGGAAGTTTTGAAGCTTCCAAACCTGGGTATGACTCTGTCCATTGTGGTTGGGCTTCTACCCCAGGATCGTGTGCTGTTACTATGTTTGATGACCATTTGTATTCTCGGGTAAGTTTTCCCTTGGTTCTGGTTTGAATAAGTAAATAAGTGCTTTTTTCGCCATACATGTTACATGAGTCACCTATGAATTGATCTGAGCCTTTTGATTGATTTAGCAATTGGTCAGTTGAGTAAACATAGATCTAGAGCTGTGGATACATATGAAAATCTTTCCATTGTAAACTTTCGGAAAAATCATCTAAAAGTTTGTAAGATGATGCCCACTGGAATAATAAATGGGCACCTTAAAATTTCATTTATAAGGTGCTGCCAAATTTGTAAGAACTAGAGTATTACTCTTTTCAATGCTTCAATTCATCTAATGTGTTATCCTCATCGGCAGCAGTTTGAGCATATTACTAGATGAATAATGTGACCTTCAACTAGGCTTTAGGGAATATGCAGTAATCTCATGAACTGGTATGTTCTGGACCATTTAACAGAAGATCACAATCTGAAGTTGATTTTTAATTCATTACTGCTTCATTTGCATATTAGATGTGTAATGATACAGCCATATCTTTTGCCAGAATAAGAGGGGGTAAATGCTTCAAATTATGTAACTATTTGAGTAATGTTTAGCCTGTTTGCTGCATAGGTCAAGTTTGGATTTGAAAGCCATTTTCTAGCTGTAGCTATTCTTTGATAACAATGTTTTAGGGATTCAGGTGTTAGATTTCTGTTCTTGATGGTTTATTTTGACTTTGGTAGCTCGTTTGAATATTATTATTTTACTTTCGAGTTCCTACTTCTTAGGAGAACGCTACATCAAGTCATCAACATTACAGAAGCCTTGAATTGAGAGTTAATCTTGTTTAATTAAGATAGTATTTTTATATTCATAATGGTAGAGATGTTTATTTCGGTAAGAAGAGTGGATGTGTTTGGAATTCAATTATTTCAGGAATATTTTTATTGTTGTTGCATGTTGCTCCAGTAACATATACCTTGGTTAAAATTGAAGTTGCACCACTGGAACAGACTTCAAATAGATTAAGTTCCCTATTAGTGTAAAAAATTACTGAATCTATATTGGATTTGCTTACAAGCTATGGTCAAAATATTAGCTGCTTCAGATCAGAGAGTCATTGCTTTGTGTGTATGTATTGCTCCATTTATCTTGCCATACCCCTTCGTATAGTAATGCAGACTGCAGACTTTCTAGGTAGAAGGTGGTAGGAGTGGAATCTATTCGAAAACTGCCAACATGCATCTCATAATTTCTCATACATTGCTATTCCTAGAGAGTGCTTGGTCATGGAGTTGTTGATCCTCAATGCAGCATTTTGATGCTCTTATCCTCCTTGGATTTCTGTTATGATTACATAAGAACCACTGATTTAGTCTTTTAATAATGGTGAGACCTCATTTTGGAGCAAAGATTGTAGAGTATAAGGTCCTCTTTGAATCAGCTATATCATGTTGTTTATCTTCTTGTCGTTTTTGTTGTCCAACTCAATGTAAATTGAAACCCATTTATTTTTTGCAGCTACCACACTGAGATGGAATGATACAGCTGTTCAGCCGGTGATAAGTTGCTGGAGAGCTTGGTCACGTTTTTGTGAAGTTACCTTTCCTCCAAATGACGCTGCTGAATTTACTATATAGGTTTTTAGCTATGCAATAGCGGAGGAAGCCAGTGAATACATATATCTATAACCTATACGGCTGGATACCAGCATAGGAATTCCCTGATGTTGCTAACTGGTTAGAAAGAATGGTGCTGCTTCCATCAAGTGAGGCACCATTTACAATCATCTGTATACAAGTTGTAGGTTTTACTTCAATTATTATACTTCCCCTGTCTAAACTTTGGTGACAAGTTCGAGAAGGGCAGTCAGGATATTGCCTTCCATCCTGCCTTAATGTGTCCTGTGCTGTATATTAAAACCCATATAGCAATGGTTGTAATTTTTTTTCTCCCAAGGGAAAGCAATGCTTGTAATTTAAAACCACTTCTGTGAATCGAGTTGTATAAGCAATTTGATACCGATTTTTCCTCTGTAAATATTTTGATACTGATTTTCTGTTTAATTTTTTGTGTTTATTTTGACCCTCTCCCTGACAAAACGAAGCACCACCATTTTCTTCTTGTAAACAATGAACTTGCCTTGCCCATGGAAAGTAGCAGGCTGCTTGAGAGCGCAAATTCATTTGCTTAAAACACCGAAAAGGGATGGGCCATAGGGACGCAGCTTGAACGTGGAGCTGACATAACTAGACAGTGCCAGGGTCGCTTTAAAGATCGACAAGACCAGTTTATCTTTTGTGAAGTAATTTAAACTTAAGAAAACTTTTTCTTTTTTCTTTTTCTCTGAAAAGAGGGACACGATTGTGATGCTAACTTGCTAATACCTTCACCAGAAATCATTTTCCTTTGCCAACCTGAATAACACTAATCAAAAGTTAAATAAATAAATAAATAAGATACTCTTGTTTTCTCTATAATTGGAAGAATCATTACAATGCTTAAGCTGTTTCAACTACAAGCAGAACGATTAATTAACTCCAGCATAAGTGCTGCTATCAAAATCAAGTGAATAGAGCCATCATCAAGTCACTCTCTAAGCAAACCCCCCACGTAAAACACCTTGACAACCTAACTACTTGATCAAAGGTGACAATGTACTTAACAAATATGCACACAGCTCAGCTGGATTTTGATATAGATTGAGAGATTTGATGGGAGAAAATTGAAGGGCCCAAAAAATCAAATCTACACTGCTGTGAACCATTATATAAGGGGCCAAGTGTAGAGTTTTATGGTTTGAATGAGACCCCATGGTATCTTGCAATTTTGGATTTTCTTCATTCATTGATTTTTTATAGCTGTGGCTGAATATTGTCAAAGAAAATCATGACCGGAGAGGAAGAAAGGGACACAACACTCTGCAAGTGTAATGGTCCTAACCGCTAACAGTTTATTTCAACTGTTACTTTGACCAAGCAGTAAATTAATTTCCCGAGGAGGCTTTGGAAATAACAGCACCCTTTTAGATCAAATTAATGAAAAGAAAAGATAGCAATAGATGCATTAAAGATTTAACTGCCAAAGCTGCCTGCCTAACTGTCAATTGTCACCTACGTTTCTTAAAAGTTTTTTTTTTTTAATGGGGTTTGTATTTTGTAGATAGAGATCTTTAGAAAGAGGGAAGATAGGAATGCCAATTAAACTAGAAGATAATTCGTTACATCCACCCCTTTATGTCTTGGTTTTAACCCAAAAATATGATGGCCAATTCCTTCGATATATTAGAAGTAATTAAAGGAACTTGGTGGTTGAGCACACTGAGAGAACGCCGATCCTTTAGAGGTAGCATAAATAATGCCCAGTTACATTATTTTACCACTCATCATTCTTATTTCATTAATAGCCCAGGTCCAGTGGCCAGGTTGTACAAAATCTTCTCACTGTCTCATGGAACTAGATGGGGATGTGAGAGCTCGTTTAGTCTGTTTTTGTACCATCATTTTAACCGTTGGACATAAAAATGGAAGCAGCATTTAACTTGTTGGGATTTGGGCTGTAGCCATGTTCTCGCGAAACATGTGTCAGAAGTTTGGTACGATGTATTTATGAGACAAGGCGTATGATTGATGCTATACTTGGCAAACCCGACCCGTCACTACTGGTTAAATCCAGATGGATTTGAAGTTGGATCGGATAAGAAATTCAATTGATCTAATCAAATCTAATTGACCGAGTTGATCCAATCAAATCCAATCGAGTTAAAAATTGATTTGACAAAAAAAATGTTTAGAGTGTTATTAGAATCTTGATTTTTTTTAATTACCTAAAGTTTTCTCAACTCATTAAAATAACAAATGTGATACAAATAAGTTTTGAATATACACACATATTAGACCTACTAAGTCAATTCACTAGCTTGATAAATTGATCAACGATCTAATGACTTGAGATTTTACTTAAATCAGATCTTAAATTGAATTTAATAGCTATATTTTATACAAGTCAACAAATTTTATGAAAACTAAATCCTTTGAATCCTTTTTTTCCCATTGACAAAACCTAATCAAGGAAATAACAATATATTTTAAAAACATGATCAAAATTAATTTTATTACCTAATCAATCAATAAATAAAAAAATGAAAGATAATCAAGGAAATGATAAATATGTATTAACCTTGTCAAAAAAAAAAAAAAAAACAATAAGCATGACTATGGCATATGCCATTCAAACATCACAAAAAACTCGTAAATGAGGAAGGGATCTTCGATCAAAGCCAATAATCAATCACTAACCGGCTAACATCTTAACAGGATGCCGGTATCTTCTATACTCTAAGCATTTATTTCTTAAGTAATATGTCCATGAACCTTTCTTTGAGAATATAATCATCTATTCTATAAAGAATATGACCTTGAACATTTCTTTAGAGATCATGGTTGTTCATTCTTTGAGAAATATAGCCTTGAATTGGGATTATATGATTTATATTAAGAGATATTTTAGCCAATATTATATATATATGGTTACAAAACATTCAAAAGCAGTCCATTTGGCAATATGTTATGTCATGCCTATGATATCAAGCTTATGGAGCAAAATCTCTAAATCGTAACCCCGAACTTCAACACCCTTTACTAATTTTGCTTTTTGTCCTTAGGCTAGTTTGTTCGGCCTTTTAGTAGTGTGACCTTTTTCCTTTCAATTGGTTGCCCTTGATCATGACAATTCCTTCGAAATGAAAATTTTTAAGGATAAATACTTGGATGCAAGTCATAAAACTTATCATGTAGGAAAGGCCTCTTAATGATAGTTTTATATGCTAAATTCATCTTTATGACCATAAAGGTGGGATGTATGACGATGCTTTTAGAATGGACACCTAAGGTGATTAAACTTTGTATAGTTCCTTCTACAAGCACTTTTTTGTTTTTATACTCCATCAAAAGGGTCTTTGTTCCTTGAAGTCTAAATGAATCCATTTTCATTAAGTCAAAGGCTTTGTGAAATAAAATATTTACCATGTTTTTCGTTGTCTAATCATGATGAGATGGACTTTGCGAGTTGGAGAGGATAACGGAGATGACAAGGGCCTCATCATAAGGGTAGGTGATCACTTTTGCATCTCTAGATGTGAACACAATTGGTTCGTGCCATGTT